CCGGCGTGGGGCGGGGCTGGACCAGGTCCGCCTCTCGCTCCCCCCTCCCCAGATTCGGGGAAACCTCCTCCCGCCTTAACTCTGCACATGCCACGGCAGGAGTAAGGCACACCGACCCACGGTCACCCAAAATGAACAGACAGGCATATGGACATCCGGCCGGCCAGGATTTAGGATTCTACCTGGGGCGATGATAGAAATGAGGCAGCGGCGAGCAACACGACACCGGTATGGTGGGGTCCGAGGAGGGTGTCGTTCTGAGTCAGATCCACGCTGGGTGTATTCAGCCAGGAGCTAGCCAGGAGCTAACCTGGGGCCTTTAGGGGTCGGAGCCCTCCCTTTACAACTGAGCTTGGAGGTGCCCAATCACCAGCTTCGCAGCGGCGCCCCCTAGAGGCCGCTAGGGCTGTAGCCTAGGCCTCTGGTTGGGGAGCCCAACGGCCCTGTCCTAACCAGGACACAAAGCCTGGCAGGGAACAGATCCTGTATTGTAGTGCACGCTGGGACGAGTAGCAGGTGGGATGGAGGAGCAGGGTGTACGAGCCTTCGGGCCTCTCCAGCCCTTCTTTACCGAAAGGTAGCTTTCTCTTGTTTAGATCTCAGCAGAGGATGAGCTAAAAGGGGCGGCCAGGGATCTCTGCCTACAGCTGTCAGTCCTGAGAATGGGGCTACTCTGAGGCCTGGGTGACTATCCATCTTCAGGGTACAGGCTTGTCTCCAGCCAACTCTGTGGTCATGTGATAGCAAATTGATGTGGCAAAGACCCACCTCTCCCTGATTCAAACCTTGGCTCAGCCTGTCTTATGAGCGTTCAGAGTCGGCTAAAGCCGCCAGTTGGAGCTCCTGGGTGTGTCTTCTCACCGCTTCGATCCAGTGTTTATCTTACAGCAGATCCTGAGACAATGACACAAGGGCATGTAGTTAATGTGGGAGGTGAAGCCAGGGAGCACGAGCAAAGGAGTAGCAAGAAGATCAAGGAAAGCAGCCAATAAAAGAGGTGTTAGCAAACAAGTTACCAGAATGGGTAGCTGGACCAAATCCTTCTGGGGAATTCTGGGAGCTGGCTAGAAATATGGACCTTACATTGTTACTGCTCCCAAAAGCAAGGGGACCTATGGAACTCATCTTCACATCCCCAAGGATCGTATGTTGAGAGCTGTTTGGGGGGACATTATTGCCTTTGCCTGCCCAAAATGTGGGTGAATCCTTCCTCATGGCTAAATAGAGCCTATTGCTCTTTCAGTGGTTGGTGGTTTGAAGTGGTGGAGGGCATGCAGAGAAATGGTGGCGCAAAGACTGGTTACAACTGCACAGTCTATAAATGGCCTCTCCTATCCCATGAGACTTCTTCCTCTCCCCAGATTGCACTCACTTGGGGCGCTGTGTGCACCCCCACAGGGTCCTCAGAGTGCTCACACGTCCATCCTCCCCCTCACCACTGTCCCTCTCTAAGGCCCCTCTGCTTTCTTTCCAGATGTTAACCATTTACAAGCTGTCTGCTTTCCAATGTCTCCCAGCTCTAGGGCGAGGCCATCCGTCCCCACAGACCCCACTGCTTGTCTACCATCTCAGTTCTTGCCACTTCTTCCTCAATTTGCTTTTGAAACACTTAGGTTTTTGTTTGTTTCTAGATGGGGTTTCTCTGTGTAACAGTTCTGGCTGTTTTGGAACTTGCTTTGTAGGCCAGGCTAGCCTCTAACTTACAGAGATCTGCCTGTCTCTGCCCCTACCCACCTCAGTGCTGGGACTAAAGTCATGTGTGTTCCACCACTACCCGGTGAAACAGCTGGGTTTTTGCTTTTTTGAGACAGAGTCTTCTGTATTTCAGGCTGGTCTTAAACTTGCTACATAGCCAAGGATGACTTTGAATTTCTCTTATCTTCCCCTCCCAAAGGGGGCTGGGATTACAAGCCTACCACCTTGCCGGTTTATGGATGCTGAGGAGTGGACTCAGAGCTCTGTGCTCTAGACAAGAGCTCTGCCACCCGAGCTACCTCTCCAGCCACCAAAATTGCCTTTGAAAAGTCACCATGTGTATTAGTCAAGAGCCTCTAGAGGGGCCTGGAAAGCTGGCTCAGAGGTTAAGAGTGCTAGCTGCTCTTCCAAAGGTCCTGAGTTCAAATCCCAGCAACCACATGATGGCTTGCAGGCAGAATCCTGTATAAATATATTTTAAAAAAAAACTTTTTAAAACAATTCTCTAAGGGAACAAAAGCAATAAATTAACACATAATACAAGAGGACTTAGACTGCGGATGGAGGTTAAGAGCATCTTCCAGAGAACCTGGGACTGGTTTCCAGCACCCACATGGCAGCTTGACTATAGTTCTCGGGGATCCGAATCTCATTATAGATGGTTGTGAGCCACCATGTGGTTGCTGGGAATTGAACTCAGGACCTCTGAAAGAGCAGACAGGGCTCTTAACCTCTGAGCTATCTCTCTAGCCCCTGCATAAATCTTAAAAAAAAAAAAAATGCATTTAAAGGAAATGATTAGACTGCCTTTCATCATACGGTCTGGCCAGTGCAATAACAGCTCCCTTCACACTGAGCACGCTAAAAACCCAGTAGTGGCTTGGTCCTAAAGTTTGGGTACCCCAGCGGTCCCGAGCTGGCACTGAGGGCCTGGACACTTCCTGGAGAGATCACTAGTCCTCAGTCCACACTGGAATCCCAAAGTAGCTAGGGTCTGCTGTTAGTGAAGGAGTGAGGTGGGAGAGGTAGTGATGGTGGCATTAGTGGTGGTGAGGGCGGCAGCGGCAGCACGAGGAGCTTGCTGGTGAGACACATGAAGATAAGGCGAGAGCCAAAGGAGGTTCTGTCGGGCCTCCTTTCATCTAGGCCGCCACTGGAAGGTGCTGTCCACCATCAGAATGTGTTTTCTCACAAGTGGGTCCAGCAGTTTATCTTAGTTGATTCAGCTTCCAGTCAAGGGTTACCACGGTGGCCCACTCCTTCAATTCCAACACTCTGTAAACAGAGGCGGTCACATCTCTGTGAGTTTGAGGACAGCCTGGCTTACAGTGAATTCCGGGTCAGCCGGGGCCACACAGTGAGGCCCTGTCTCAGCAAAAAAAAAAAAAAAAAAAAAAAAAAAACCGGCTGGAGAGGTGGCTCGGCGTTTAAGAGCACTCACTGCCTTGCCCTTGCAGAGGATCTGAGTTTGGTTCCCATTGCTGTAGTTGGGCTGCTCACAACCACCTGTAAGTCCAGGTCCAGGAAAGTGATGCCCTCATCACTGCATGCGTGTATCCGCACATGAACACGTGCTCGCTCCCACGCCACACACATAATTAAAATAAGCGACGCGACGACGACAACAAAGTCAGATCCAGACAAACTGACAGCCAAGATTAACCATCATGCCGCACAACATAAAACTAGCATCACCTTGTGGTCTCTAGCTCAAGCTTTTGCAGGATCTTCAAAGTTTCACCCTTTGTGACCTTGAGTCTTGAAGTCTGGACGTTCTCTTGCCTTTTAGAGTGTTTCTCACATTTCTCAGGGAGAAGCTCAAGAATTGGCCCTAGAACTTAGATTCCACCCCAAAGCAAGGGCCTTGGGGCTTCAGAGCTAGCTCAGCTGGTGATGTGCTTGATGTAGAAGCGTGAGGATGGTAGTTTGATCTCTGGAACCTACACTTTTAAAAATCCAGGTGTGGAGCTGGGGAGCGGTGATGGAGCACACCCTGAATCCCAGCACTTGGGAGGCAGAGGCAGACAGAGCTGTCCTGGTCCACAGAGTCAGTCCCAGGACAGCCAGGGCTACATAGAGAAACCCTGTCCCGAAACAAACAAGCCCAGGTGCGGGGCTGTGGAAAGATGCAGCAGGCAAAGTGCAAGTCCTAGGAGAGCGTCCTCACAGCAGCCATACGGCTCTGGCCTTCCAAAGGAGCCAACTTAGAACCTACAAGAAAATCTTTCCCAAGCTGCACTCTCCACCCAATCACCAGCTGACTGTGCTAAGGGGGATATGGGTTGACCTCGCTAGTGACCAAGTGGAGAGCAAGAGATGGATCATGGAAACACATTGCGTCTCCCCATCTCCCCCTCATCTGAGTTGGGTTATATCTATATAGAGTCGGCAGCTATCAAGGACCAGGTCAAGTGTTGACTGTGCTCTGATGAGTGTTCCCTGAGAGTTCCACCTCAGGCTTGATACCAGGATGCCCCTGTGCCGGCTGGATACCCTTACACTTTATTTTTCCTTCAGTAACTAGATAGAAGAGGCAGAGATAGAATGGACCTAGCTTTTTTGTCCTCCATTTTTCTCTGACTTTTGGGCCGGACAATGGCAGAGAGGAATCTCCTTCTCAGACCTGAGCCACTACTATCCCTGGAGGAAACAAAGCTCTGCCTCTCCGGGGAAGTAGCTTCTGTTTGTCTAGTCATGGCTCATCCTGGTGTAGGCTCATAAGACCTTTTCTTTTTCTCCACCAAGACAAACAGTTCAAAGCACTGACCCCAGGCTATCAGCAGATTGTGAGGTTCCTGTTGGGCATCTGGGCTACCTTTGAAAACATTCAGGACTCCACTGTCAGTGGAGAAGTTAAGGCCCCGAGAAGTTAACAGGCACCAAGTGAGGCCTTGGGTATTGCTAAGTGGAATGGATAATTACCTTTAAGCCCAGATCTGGCTATATAGGCTGGGAAACAGGACAACTGAAAGTGCTTGGGCTCGTATGAAGAAGGAAGATAATATACAGCCCTGACCTGAAATATTCTAGACACCCTCTTCTACCTATCCCAAACTGAGGCAGGTCCAGATGCCTTTAATACCTCATCCATGAAACCAAAGCGTTCCTGATGGCTCCCAACCTAGACTAGGAAAACATCTGACAACGGGCCCTTTCTTAAGAGCTGTGGAGCCAGGCCTGGCAGCAAATATCCCAGCAATCCGAGGGCTATGTAGCAAGACACTGTCTCAAATAGAAAAAAAAAAAAGTTTGGAAACTATTTTGACTCTTCATCTGAGGTCTCAGACTCCTGGGGTTAG